GGGGGGGCGCTGGGGGCAGCCCTGCGTCACGTGGGCTCCGATCTGCCCTGTGGGCCATGCTGGAGCCTTTCCCTGCCCGCCCCTTGCCCAGCGGGGGGGGGGGCTGGCCCCGGGGCTGTGGTACCTGAAGGCCCCCCCGAGGTGGGGGGCAGCCAGGGTGTGCGGGTGGCTGGGCAGGATCAGCCCCCGCCGGGGCTGAGCTCATCTGGATTTGTGCCGTCTGCCCCGTGGGGTACCGGGAACCCAGCCCCTGCTCCCCGCCCAGCCCAGCTCCTACAGTCACTCCTGGGTTTCTGCGGCGCCTGGCCGGGTGGCACCCGGCTGCTGCCATGATACGAACAGGCTGGCCCGTGGGGGGCCCAGCCTAGGCTGGACGGAGAACCCCGATCCCCCTGTGCCCGCGCCGGGCGGGGGTGCTCTCCCTGTCCCGGGGGTGCTCCTGGGTCTGGGCCCAGAGCTCCCACTTTGCATCCCAGCAGGGTCAGCTCCACTGTGGAGCTAAACCCAGCTCCCCCCTGGGGAAAGCCGGGGTCCTGTGCGCGCGTCCAGGGGCCCGGAGTAGCTTGTAGCACGGCTCCCCTATCTTGCAGATGCCTGGTGTCACGGTGAAAGACGTTAACCAGCAGGAGTTCGTCAGGGCCCTGGCTGCCTTCCTCAAGAAGTGAGTTTTACCCTTTCCCGGGGGCGGGGGGGGGGGCGGCAGGACGAGGCTCATTCAGACTAGGGGAGGGCTGGTCGGGGCAGCTGCCGCGGATCTGGCCAGGATAAGTTTCCTCTCCCCAAATGCCCCTTTTGATCTCCCCGCACTCCTCGGGCCCTGGGCAGTCTCCCCTGCAGGCCTGCCTGCTGTCGCGTGGACATGCAGCGTTCCCCCCGGCTAGGCTGCTCGGGGGCTGCTGCTGACTTGTCCCTGGCTTGCTTCCAGGTCAGGAAAGCTGAAGGTGCCCGAGTGGGTGGATACGGTCAAGCTCGCCAAGCACAAGGAGTTGGCCCCGTATGATGAGAACTGGTTCTATACCCGAGCAGGTAAGAATTCCAGCCTTGCCCATAGCAGCGAGCGGTGCGTCTGCCTCCCCATAGCCAGCGGAGCAGTGACCCCGAATGACCTGGGGGGTCACAGCCCACTTCCCTCCCACGCCGGCTGTCGCTGTCCAGTCTTCTCGGGGCTTCGGCTTGTGTGTCACGCCCTGCGGAGGGGCCGCCAGCCTCAGCCAGCAAACGCCGAACGAATCTGGAATCTGAGTGCTCGGCACTTAAAGTAGCGTGTTGTGTTAGAGCCCGTTGGGAGCTGGGGGTGTGGGAGGAGATGCCCTGACCACGATCAGACCGAGCTCCCTGCGTTGCTAGTGAGGGACTGTGACCTTGCGTCTCTGATCCATGGGTTTGGCCGTCGCGGTTCCTCTGTCCGTCTCCCGGTGCTGTCTGAGGGCCTCTGGCGGCTCGTTTGTGACTCTTGGGTTGGCTCGTGAACACGCCGCGTAGGGCAAAGGGACGGGCTCTGAGTTCAGCCTTTCCTGCCCGGGAGCCTCGTCTGGCTGGCGAGAGGCTCTCCTAAGCGTCCCGCGTCCCGAACCCTCCAGCGCTGAACTAGAGAAACGTCCAGGCTCTGATCCCAGCCCCCCTGCCCTGGGTTTGTTACTGAGGGGTCGGCTTGCTGCCAGGGGCTGTGCTCTGATTTCACCAGCCCCGCAGGCTTGGGGGGGGGGCTCTGCCCTGTGCAGCGATTCCGGCACCGCCGGCTTCCTAGCTGGCAAACCGAGCCCTGAGCCCCCGAGTCTCCTGGTCGCTGCCCAGCTGGGCCGATCCCTGGCGCCTTCCCTCGCCTGCCGTGTTGGCCGGGGAAGAGTGGCTGTGCGGAGCGGCTGGCAGGGGAGGGAGGGCGTGGAAGCAGCTGCCGAGACGCCAGGCTAACGGCTCTGCCTGTGGTTCTGCAGCGTCCACGGCCCGGCACCTGTACCTCCGCGGCGGTGCCGGCGTCGGCTCCATGACCAAGATCTACGGGGGCCGGCAGCGCAACGGCGTCATGCCCAGCCACTTCAGCCGCGGCTCCAAGAGCGTGGCCAGGCGGGTGCTGCAGGCCCTGGAGGGGCTGAAAATGGTGGAGAAGGATCAGGATGGGTGAGTGTCGAGGGGCCTGGCCGGACGTCGCTGCTGGGCGGGAGGAGAGGCGGGGTTCAGAGCAGCCCGTCGGGTTGGCGCTGAGTGCGCCGGGCGTCGGAGCCCGATCTGAATGCTGCGTGGTGGGTGCGGGCTGCAGCCGAGCCGGCTCCAGGGGCTGGGGCGCGGGGAGAGCGTTATTCCCCAGTGACGGATTCTTTACCCTTCCTTCCAGAGGTCGCAAACTCACCCCCCAGGGACAGAGAGATCTGGACAGAATCGCCGGCCAGGTAACGCTTCCTTCCCACCCCCGTGTGCTGGGTAGAGTCTGGGGACCCCGCCCGTGTGTCCAGGGTCACTGAAAGTGGGTTTAGGTCAGCCCGTGGCAGCGTGGCAAGGGACGTGCTCCCTGCCCCCACGCCCAGGAAAGAGCCAGTCCCGGCCGCGTAGTGCTGGGCGTCCCCATTCCTCGCTCGCTCGCTTGCCTCTCCTGCAGGGGCCGAGCGCTTCCAGCACAGAACTGAACCCGACCCCGGCTCCGGCCCAGTGCCCGTTGGCAGAACGCGGAGTCGTGCCTAGAAAGGAACCAAAGCTGCCCTGAGACCGTCAGCAAAGACTGACCGTTCCTGCTGCGCTCTAGCGCTGTCGGGGTCTGCGCGAAGTGGCGTGTGACCGGCACAGCCTGTCCTGGGGGGGGGGGAGGGGGGTGTGCACCTAGACTGTCTTACCGCCGCTCCCCTCTCCGGCACGGCTCTCACCCGCCTCCTCTCTTCCAGGTGGCAGCTGCAAACAAGAAACATTAAAACGAGCGTCAGAGAATAAAACCCGGTT